TGTCAAACGGAGGTGAATAGTGCTCGTTTATCACTTCCGAACTAGCCAATCAGCGCGTGCAAAAAGTACTTTTCATCTGTATGATATATATACATCAATTAACAATTATTCGCCGAAGACGAAGAAAGTATTGTTGAATAATCTCTTAGACGAGATATAGTATAATAATATGGTTCAGATACTTTCGAATTCTGTTGTAATTTCGTTTCGTTGTTGACACCGTTCTGTCAATTATTTTTATCACTCGTATTTTTATCACTCGTATCGACTAGAATTTAACAGATTTATTTAATTCAATCAGCAAAAACATCTTTCTTTTTAATAGTATTACGCCAAAGTTAATAGCATCTTTTGCAATCTTCGGATTGAATTTTCCTTACTACACTTACTTAACTTTTTATTTAAGGAGGGAAGCGCAATAACCTATCACAATTTTCGAACCTGTGGCCCTCACACCCACCCCACCCCAGGGGAGAACATCCATCACACAGTAATCTCGTGCGTGGGAAATTAACGTCTCCTACTTCCTCGGGGACATTGACAAAAAGCAAGGCGGTCACATTTTAAAATTTAGTGCTCTTGACTGCTATAATCACCTCGCGTGAGATGATTGTAGCGAGATATGATGCAATCCTCTTCCAATCAGAGTGCACACAACTTTATCATCACCCAAGCAATACTCAAGCACAATATTATGATAATTTTTAAGATATTATCATAATGATTGTTAGAGAACAGAAGACAAAGTAACTAACCATGTATAACCTTCTCAAGCTTCCGTCTTTCAGGTTCACTCAGTGATCTTCAAGATGATTGGGATTAACATCAAGGGTTTCACACAAGAAATCAAGAACAGCTTGATCCTTGTAAAAGCCCGAAATTTTTACGCCAGCGAAGTCTGTCCCTTTGTAAGCCTGGGAGAAAAAGACTTATCACTCTTTCAAAGAATTACAACTTGCCAGTGGAATAGTTTCATCACTGAGCCGACAGCCGATGGCCTAAGAATAAAATAATCGATATATTTCCGTAGTCAATTATTTCTAAGTTAGCGCGAACCAGCGATTTCGCAACAAGGTGGCCTGTTATCGATAAACTGTCGAAAACAATAGCCGCGTTTTCCTAAACGAGGTTGCCGACCTTTCTTGTCTTGAAAATAATTCCATCCTTTCGCTGCTTCTTCTTTGCGTGACAAATAAAAGAGGTTGCAAGGATAAAAAAAATTGTCTGATTGTCAGAAGACAATTTGATTATTCAGCAAATTAAGAATAAGAAGAAGTTGGCACGGGATGAAGGCGAATGAAAGGAGGAGGGGCAATCGGAGGGCAGAGAGGAAAGTAAAATAGCTGATGCACTCATTATCAGTCACAACACTTGGTCTGATCTCATTTGGACGATCAAACCACACGATCATCTGTAACTCCTAAGTTCAAAAAATACGTTGCTATTAAATTATGTAGAATACATAAAGGAGGAAAGTTTCTAAATAAAATGTGGTGCTGCGTCAGCGGGGGACTATAACAAGATAATTTGATTTTATGAAACGAGTTGATCAGTAATGTAAATTGGCCATCGTGAAGACTTTAAAAGCTGACGTTTCAAGGGTTAGCCCTTCGCCATTCGCTTTGACGAAAGGCTAACGCTCGAGACGTCAGCTTTTAAACTCAATACATTATCCACTCCGTTGACAAAACCAAATTCTATGTAGACTACAGTCTTAGAATAGCCACAATGATGTAATGATATAACTTGTAACAGGTTCCACTTTAGAAAATAAGAAAACCAAATTCTACAACATTTTCATATATTTGCAAAACGTATTTGCAAAGTTCGCATTTTTCTCGAGCTTTGCATCAGGAAAAAAGGTAATGTCCGCGGACGAATGTCTGTGCATGTTTTCGCACCTAA